AGGACCCAACACATGAACTCTTGCAGCATGAACTCAAATCATATCTAAGTTACAGCAGTACCTAAATCATGTCCTCTGATTTCTCCTATGAGAATGATTGTGTGGGTGGCCAGCCGTGTTTATAGTATAACATGATGGGCCACACAAATTCTTGCCCGCTGGTGGGACACACATACGCCTTATCAACACTGTCCATTTTCTCCTCTCCCTCAAAAATTCAGGCTTCTTTTAACATGAAGGCAATCCTTTCCTTTGGGCCAAACATGAACATGCTAAAGTAAAGCTACTAGATTGAGACCACTATAAGCACTCTGAATTGGGCAACCAACAGGATATGGTCTGTCACCACATAGAGGAAAGGAAAGGTCAGGTTTCTACAAAACTGAGAGGAGGGTAGAGGTGTGAGAAACTGTTGGGAAGGTCTCTAAAAGTTCAAAGCCAAGGAAGGCCACAGGAGAGGCAAATGTAGGGCCATAGCTATGGGTTCTGAAGATGGGTGAAGGAGCTGGGGCCAGCCAGGCTGGAAGCAAAGCGAGGGACTCCACACACTGAATTGTACTCCAGAGGGTTAAAGTACACTATTATAAGAAGCTTATAATAGTGACATGGGACAGAGCTTGCTGCTGTTGCTGTTAAATTTATAGAGGAACTAGGGAAGGGGATCAAGCAGTGTTATTATTGTCCATCTAGGACTCCTGAACCACATTTGTCAGTTTTCCCTTTTATCCACAGTAAAATACTTACGATAAAAGTTTACAGTTATATATACTATGACAAACATTTTTTTGTTATCATTGTGGGTTTTTTGCATTGTTTTTATATTCATTTAATCCTCCCAATAATTGTATTGTTATCTCCATTTTATCAATGAAAAATTAAGAGGTTAAATAACTTGATCCCACCATTCACCAGGTAAATCATATTGGATGCCTTACAAGGATACCCTGGGAGACAGGTTTTTTGCTCGTGAAGGCTAATACAAGTTAGGGAGCCCAGATGGTTTGATTCCAGGGCCTGTGTCCATGGCCATATGCTATATGCTTCTCTGAAAACTCAGGAAAGTCGGATGATTTTCTTAAATTTAAAAAAAAGAGGTTTCGAACAAGAAAATTTAAAATAAGAAAACTAAAGCATAGGAGGCAGGGGAGCAAAGAGAAAGGCTAGCACAATGAGAGAAAAGTAAATGCTAACATTTATGGAGGACTCACAGGTGCTAGGTGCTGCTATAACCTCCATCACAAGTCTGCTACAAGTAGGCAATATTATAAGCACCCCTATTTTAAGGAGGAAAAAAAAACTATAGGTCTCCAGAGAGGCTAAGTTGCTTGCCTCAAGTTACTTGAGTAGGAAGTGCTAATCTGAGATGTGAACTCAGGCAGCTTCTCTGTGTTCTGAGGATAGGATTCAGGGCCTTGCACATGCTAAGCAATTGCTCTACCCTAGACTACAACCCCAGTTCCTGTGTTCTTACTTAGCAAGTAGTAAAATGGGAAAATTGCTGGGGTCCACAAAGTTTCTGTGTAGCTGGTTTGGCTTTTGTGCTCTGGGTGCTAGGGAAAAGTGCAGGTCTTTATTCTTGACTGTTTGATTCTACTGAGATCTTAAAGCTCTGAGAAGGCAGAGATTGTGGATTAACTGTTGAATCTCCATGGCCATCCACATAGCCTGGTATATGGTAAATATTTTCTGAAAGAAGCCATAAGTGGAGGGATGGATGATGGATGGATAGATGGATGGAAATCCTCCTGTAGCCTGAAACACTTAGGTCTCTTTTGTAGGCTTAAGTTCACTTACTATCTTCCTTCACATTTACTATCCTTCCCCAAGATGACCACATTTATCTTCTTCATTGCCATCACAGAGGAGCCATTATTTCGCTTTTTCTTCAGCTGTCACTCCCTGGATTCCCCTTAGGGTTATTTGTTCTGGCAGCAGCCTCTGCAAGCATCATCTGAGGCCAGTCCTGTATCTACTAGAGAAAGCAATGTGAATGCCTTTTTCCTATAGGAAAAAATTTTAGATATTCTGAGAGGTGATGTTCAAATTGAGCGTTTAAATGAAAATTTCCAGAAGAGGAGTGGGTAAGGACATTGCAGGCGAAGAAAGAACTTGTGCAAAGTCATGGGGATGTGAAAGAGCTACTGGTATCAAGGGAAGATTTGGTAGTTTGGGGTGACAGAGGCAAAAGGCAGTGAGGGGGGACTAAGCTGAAGCTGAGCTGCAGAGGTATGTGGGACCTTAGTGTTTGCCTAGGTCACTTTCTGGGCCCAACATTGCTCTCTGCAGCAATCTAGGGCACAACTGGGGATGAGGGTAGGGCTGCTTTTTCACCAACAGGCCCTTTCTCTCCAGACAGGAAGAATCCACCAAGTACTTCAGCTTTTCTATTTCTGATGAGAGCAACAGAAAAGAGGCAGAACATCGATACCATGTAAGAACTGGGACATATTCATGTCTGTCCTTCCTGGTGTGCATGGAGTTGGAAGTTGGTGGGAAAGATGCAGAAGACCCCAGGGCTATCGCTAGGAAAGAAGTGGGATTTGGTATGTGCCAGGGACTATAATGTCATTTGGTCTCAATTTTCTGCAGGTGAATAACCTAAGTCAGCGGGATCTGGCCATCAGCATAATATTCTGGGTTCCCATCTTGCTGAATGATGTGCCTGTGTGGGATGTAACTGTGATGGCCCCTTCACAGGTGCTTGCCTGTCTTTCCTCTCTCTCCAGGAACTGATCCCACAGGTACTGCACACCCTCTTATCAGGGAAATGTTGATCCTTATGCTGCTAAGAATTTTTTTTTTTTTTTTTTTGTCAACTAGAGTCTCCCCTGCATGTCAGAGAGGAAACCTCCCCAGCATTCTGACTTCCTGACCCAGATTCCAAGGAGTTCTGTGCTGGTAAGAAAGACCCTGAGTCCCCACTATCGGACCAGCCCATATTGGGGGATATAGCAAAAATGTATTGCTAGATTATAGAATTATGCATTTATCTTGTAATTTTTCATCTATTTTCCACCCAAACTCTGCATCCTTTATTTCGTTTTATGGTCCCCCCCACCCTAAGTGAAGATCTTCCTCAACTTCTTTCCTCTCCTGTCTCAAGAACTGTTCCATTGCTGACTGCATGAGGTTCCGCTGTGACATCCCCTCCTTCGGCATCCAGGAGGAGCTTGACTTCATCCTGAAGGGCAACCTCAGCTTTGGCTGGGTCAGCCAGGTGTGTAGGCCCTTCCCCTAGATTCAAATGGTACCTGATGGGTCTGCACCAAGTCTTAGGCCAGGTCATTTGCTGAACTCTAAGCTTCCCTCCCCAGATCCCCTCACCCTAACACTGTCTTGCAGACATTGCAGAAGAAGGTGTCAGTCATGAGTGTGGCTGAAATCACATTTGACAGATCTGTGTATGCCCAGCTTCCAGGACAGGAGGCATTTTTGAGAGCCCAGGTAATGACTGTGGGGTAGGCAGTGGCCAGGCTGGTAAGAGGCTCCTGATACTAAATCTGTGCTGCTGGTGGGGGGTTGAAAACTTAGAGGGAGGAGGGAGGAAAGTCCCTGGGCAAGACAAATGTCCTGAAGAGTATGAGTGCTCCTGCATCTCACCTCTTGGAGCAGGGCCTAGGGAAGGAGGGAAGGGAGCTAAAGTTTGGAGAACCCTGGGAAAGTCTGAGGCAACATGAAACCTCATGCTTTCTGATCTCCAAATCAGATGGAGACACTGCTAGAAGAATTTGAGGTCTATAATCCCATCTCCCTCATTGTGGGCAGCTCTGTGGGAGGTCTGCTGCTGCTGGCTCTTATCACAGCCACATTGTATAAGGCAAGTACTTTATTCCACTCCTAACACTACCAGCAGCCAAACCCAGCTCTGTCACAGACAGGATAATAGAGTGAGAATCTGACTATAGTGCCAGACAGGACTAGGCACACATTTTGCCTCTAGAATTTATTTACTGTATGTTAGCAAGTTGCTCAACCTCTCTGAATCTGTTTCTCATTTTATTTATTTATATGTGGTGCTGAGAATTGAACCCAGTGCCTCATACATGCTAGGCAAGTGCTCTTTACCACTGAGTTACAACCCAAGCCCCTTGTTTCTCATTTTTTAAATGATAGTAAGGCTTACCTCATAGATTACATGAAATTAGGCAGAAATGAGGCCAGGGTATATGTATAAATCTGCCTGCCTGCAGAATCTTTGCTTTTCTATTCTAGATTATGTGTATAATACTGTGTTCAGCACACAACAGATATTCAATATATGATAGCTGTTGTTCATATAAATGTTCTGGCACAAAAACATAAGCTTACTTAGTTCTCTTCTTCTCTCTCAGTTTCTTCCTATTCTCATACCCAGTATTTCTGATTTATTTCTTTTCACAGCTTGGCTTCTTTAAACGTCAATACAAAGAAATGTTAGATGGAAAGCCTGAAGATACTCCTACATTAGGAGGGGAGAATTTCACCTATGAGGCACCAAATTTGTCTTTGTCTTAATAATCCACTTTTAAAATTTATCTCTACTTCCATGAGTTAGTTTTGTCCCTACCTATGAATCTACTTTCACATGGATCTGGACTTGCCTGAGCAACCTATCAGGTATTAAGCCACCTTTCTGAGGAGTTGAAAGGTTTTTATATCTGTACATATCTCTTGGACTTTTTCAGGATCAGATATGATGCCAGCATAAATTTTCATATGGATATTTGTCATACAAACTGAGAATGTTTATCACATTTTCCTTGTATGGAAGTGTTCTAACCCAGGGATGAGGTTCTAGAAATAGGTAGAGAAACCAAATTGTGGGATTAAAAATGTCCTCTCACTTTCTCTGGTACCTGGGAGTATCAGGGGAGAGATTTAAAGGAAGTGTGTGTGTGTGTGTGTGTGTGTGTGTGTGTGTGTGTGCGCGCACGCGCGCGCCAGGAGCATATTGGTCTGTCATGGGCTATGCACAGGCTTCAGGATCTTTAGTCATGAAAAGTGGGAAAGGCGGTGGAATGTTCAGTCAGAGCTCATTTGAACCCAAGTTTCCCTTGAATGGGACCCCAAAATCCAGGAGAGCCAGGCTTCCAGAAAGGACTCCCTCATTTCCAGACTAATACAGAAAAGCATCATAGAGAATGACCAAAATATTTCAAATCCAGAATTAGGTCATGACACCTCACACAGAGGACGGCAGGGCCCACATTTGAAATTAGGGCTGTCTGTAGATAGCCAGGATTCACAGATGCCTGGGTGTGTCAGGGGAGAGTTACTTCAGGTCTGCACTCCTGGGTTCCCATCGGACCTTTGATCAGCTGCAGACAATGAAGTCGCTGAGAATCTTAGGTTCCTCCTCTAGAGAAGAGGAACAAAATTATATCTGGATTCAGTTATGTGAAAACCCTGTACAGCCTAGAGACCTAAATATTAATGGGTAAGAGAGGGGGACGGAGATTGCCTACCTGTTCACGCAGGTCCCTCGAGCACCTGCCATCATAAGCAACTTGGGAGTAACACGCTAGAGCAGCCACGCAGCCCGCGCATGCGCCGAGCCGACAGGCCGAGCCCTGGATAATCCGTGCAATCGGTGCAGCCCAGCGGCGCCCCACCCAACCCTTCGCTCCCGCTGTCCCCAGAAAGCCTAAGGACACAAAACTTTCACACCTTTATTGTGCTTGGGATTGTCCGCTGGGGCTTCAGTCTTCGTAGCCCGTGGGCAGAGGGTTGAAGTGGGGATTGTGGAAAAGAGTGTGGTTGCCGTCCCCCCAGGCGAAGGGCTGTAGAGAGAGCCGAGAAGGGACAGAGAGTGTCAGAGCGGCCCCGGCCAGGGGGTGTCCCCGCACCCCCTTTGCCAGCCCTCTGGGTCCCGCATACCTTGGTGCGAATGCGGAGGTGGTGGTAGGGGATGAACTCTGGGCGCTCGCGGTGGCCTGCGTGCAGCCAGCAGTTGACGGTGCACAGAGCCACACTGGGGAGCGCCAGCACGAAGGTCAGGAGGCGCCAGGTGTTGGCTGGGTGAGAGCAAAGGCGAGGGTGAGAGAGAAGGTCAAGGCCTCCAGGCGGAGGCCCTCGGAAGGTCTGGGGTCGCTTAGCCCGAGTAGGGGGTTGCCCGGAGGTCAGGTGTGTGTGTGTGTGTGTGTGTGTGTGTGTGTGTGTAGGAACCAGGTGGGCAAAACCAGTAAGCAAGAGGGTCAGGCACGCTGGCTCCACTCACCTCCTGCCCCTCCGTGGTCTCCCTTGGCTGTGCTGGCCAAACCCCTACTCAAGGACCTCAGAGGCAGAGCCATAGTGGCAAGAGAAGCTGGGAATGGCACTGTCCTTCCACTCTCCTTCACTGAGGCTTACGTTCTCCTCCCCTTTTTTGAGCCAATCACCTGTTGAGTCGCAACTTGGGTGGCTATTTTTAGGGGTCTTCTATATTTAAAGTGGGGCCTGACTGGAAGGAGATCCTCTCCAGGCGGTGGGTTTACTGTGTCTTTTATTTTGACAAGGGGACATGTAAAGTGCAATATGCTGTTTTTAAAATAGTTGCGGAGAACTAATTTATTCCATATTCCCAGTGGCTGGCACACAGTAGGCCTTTAATAAGTATTTGTAGAATAGACCAAGGGTCTTTTTGAATCCTTTTTTCCAACTGTAAAGTCTATAATTTGTACTTAAATTATTTTTTCTAATGAAGTTTAAGTAAAATAGAAGTGTGCCAGTTTAAAGTCTGACACAAAACAGTCATTTAGTATATGTTTTAATCACAGTTCCTTGCAAAGAACAGAACTCATAACTCGTTTTGAAAGATAAGCAGCTGACAATCTTAGTTAGCTCAGGGTATTTCTGGTACAGCCAGAGAGGCCTCAATCTGCACAGTGAGAAATGAACCGTTTTGAAGACCACTGCTAACCCTGGATGCCAAAAACTTCCATTTACACAGCTTTGGGAAGCTAAATTTGTCCATCCTCACCCTGTTTTGAAAATGGTTTCCTTGTGAAGTTGTTTCCACGGGTTTTCTCTCTTTTTAATCAATAAATCATGTGGGTGCACCAATTGGCAATACCTGGTCATTTTGCTTGTGATCTAGTTGCAAGAAAGTCTGGGAAGGTGAGTCTTGGCTTCTGTCTTAGGCAGGCAGGAATTATACTGTGGGGAAAATCCTCAAGAATGGGAAAATTATTCAGAAAATTCTGGGTAGCCACAAATCTAACAAATGTCTTCTGCAAAATGTGTTATTTCACTCTGACTTTTTTGGAGAGAAAAAAGAAAGCATAGGCAGGCCTGCACGCAGCTTGTATCAAGGCAGGTCACCATAAAGCTAGGGGACCAGTCAGGGATGACATCTGCTTTGTTCATTGTCATATCCTCAGCACCCAGCATGGAACCTGGCATGAAGTAGATGTTCCAAAAATATGTATTTAATGAATGTTTGAACCATCTTCTTTTGGTTAACTCTATAGAAATGTCTTTTCAGAATTTAACAGGAGGCTTCCAACATTTATCAAAGGCTGATATGCTGAATATGAATTTAAGAAAAATGAAGAAGGTACAATTTCAAGAAGGGGCTCTATAACTGTACCTCCTGTTGGTTCTAAGCTGAACCACTTCTTCCTTCTTGTCCTCCCTCCCTCCACCCCTTCTCTTCTTCAATCTTGTTGAATGGTCAAATGTTACATAGCGTGGCTAAATTATTCCTGAGCCCTCACTGAGCTATAGAATTCTTTCAATTGCCTTTTCCCAGTGACTTTGGAGTAGCTGTGGAGATGGGACTTTAAATTTCCCTGGCATCTCCCTCTATTCACAATCCATCAAATCCCTTCTCTTCAGATATGCCAACTGTAGCTCCTGAAGAAACAGAAAAGACAAGGGGGTGTGTTTAATGGGAAGGCTTGTAGGTTCTCTTTCTTCCCTGAATAGCCCTTTAGGTTTGTTTGCTGATGGTTACCAAACACTTCACTGGAAATTCCAACCCCTTTGGTTAATGCCCCAAGGGCTGCTACTTTCCTCTGCTGCTGTCGCCATCGTGTGGTGCATTTGACCAAGTACCCAAAGACTTGTACTTAGTTTGTGCTTTTCTAGGCTGATCATACTTCTGTCCTAACTGCCTCTGTGGAGAGGCAGCAGTCTTTGTACCTACCATTATTTCTTAAGTTCTCTCTCACATAAATTAATTGGCTTTCTGCCGAAGCTTCCAAGTTCTAGAGGTTTCATTTGTTCTTTATTTTAGGTAGAGGGAAGAACAAACTTTCCAGTTGTTAAATAGACCCCAGTGAGTAGCATTCCCATCCTTTGGGAGACATACTTCAGCTACTGGTGGTGAAGGCAGAGGGACAACTCTGTCAGTTTCTTTTATGCCTCTTCCTGGGTCATACTATGACTAGATTTTCCAAAGCCAAGATCAATCACAACATGTGATCTATTAAATATAAATTTTGTGTGTGGTGTCCTAGAATGGAATACTCGAAATTGGAAATGTCCCACAAAAACAATTATATGATGACACAGAACATGGGTTAACTAGGATGAACAGTAAAGAGAGTTGGAAACAAGACAGAATCAATAATGGCAATAGAATGATAGGGTCTTGTGTCATCTTTGAAGAAAAGGACAATAAAATACTATGTCCCTGAAGGGACCCTCCCCACACCCCAAAACCTAGCCAGGTTAAGGGAACAATGAGAGTGAGTCTAGGCTCAAATATCCAGATATAAATTATCCTGAGGGACACTGGCTTTCTCTCGTATGCTGGGAATTAGGGCAAGTTAGTGTTATCAGTACAAAGTGGCTTTTTTGCATTCACAACAAGTTCCTTGGGATGCTGGTCACAGGTAAAAGCAAGCTAAATTGATGATGTCACTACGTCTGTAGCATAATATATACAACCCCTCTTCTTGTGGTATCAGAGCACTGTGGAGAAGGAGTGCTTGTCCAGCTGGCCCTCACTGTACAAAGTGTTGAAGGGGGTTGGAGGCACTATTTTATGGTGAAGCACTGAAGGCACCTTGTGAAATGGAAGCACCTGTCCACCCCATTGCCATTGAGTTTTCTGGCCAGGCATCTAGACTGTTGCCACTGGATCTTCCCCATAAGTGTTTCTTAGTAAACCTTATATCTCACATCCCATCTTTAGGTGTCTTCTTTGGTCTCTCAGCAACCTACCCCACTACCCTAGCCCAACTGGGCTGTAAACATTACAGGCCTCAAGAGGGGTTGTTAGCTCCCTCTACCATTGGGAGGGCCTATAATCATGTTATAATGGACATCTATTATTTTGTATCATGTGCTCAATATATCTGTAAAAGAAAAACTTTAAACAAATTAAACATAACAGAGTTTATTTGAACAAAGAATGATTCATGAATAGGGCAGCACTCTAAACTGAAAGGTGTTGAGAGCTCTCCTGTGCAGTGTAGGCCTTGAGCTTTCATGGGCTGAATAGCAAAGTGAAGTACAGAAACAACTTGACAGGTTATAGTTAGGCATTTGCCTTTATTCAACATTGCCTGACAGTTGGTTGCCTGTGATTGACTGGATTTGGGTTGCTTGTGGTGGGCTGAGATTTTGCTGTTACAAATAACAACAATACTCCCAATTTAGATTTTGGTAGTTTTCATATTAAATTCGATTGTAGTTTGTTGGGTAGAAACTCAAAGTTTGGAATAGTCTCAGGCCAATGGACTCTTATTTATTGTATTTAACATATCCATGTCTTCTTCTTCTGATAATTGTACCAAAGAGTCTCTTTGTGAAACTACTGCCTTTTATTTCAAGTTCACAGTCCATTTGTGGTTGACTTCCTTCTCAGGCTCTATGAGGGGACACATGATCCAGGCCTAGGCAATTAGAATATTCTGTTCTCTTGGTTATGAGTGATTGGTTTAGGGAAGAACTGAAGTCTATGGGTCATGAATTTTGGGACTTCTTTCTTATACTATTGAGACATGGAGCTGCTGGAACCTCAGACTGGAGCAGTAGACTGAAGCCAATATTGGGACCATTTTTAATAGCAGACCAAAAGATGGGGAAAGATTTTGCCTTGTTTTTTGGGTCCTAAATAAAGATGTGCCGGAATTGATAAACTTCTGTACCCTGAATTTTCAGTTATGTGAAATAACAAATCTTCCATTTTTAAAACTCAATTTGAGATGGGGTCAGGCATGGGAGTGCCTGCCTGTAATCCCAGCAATTCAGGAGGTTAAAACAGGAGAACTGCAATTTTGAGGCCAGCCTGTTCAACTTAGCAAGACCCTGTCTCGAAATAAAATTTAAGGGCTGGGGTTGTGGCTCAGTGGTAGAGCACTTGCCTAACACAAGTGAGGCACTGGGTTTGATCCTCAGCACCCACATGAAGAAAAATAAACAAATAAGGTAAAGGTATTGTGTCCATCTATAACTAAAAACATTTTTTTTAAAAAAAATAAAATTTTAAAAGGGCTGGGGATGTAGCTCAGTGATAGAGCACTCTTGGGTTCAATCCCCAGTACCACAAAAATAAATAAATTTGAGTTGAGGTTTTAAGTCTTAGTTTATTGCTAAAGTCTGTGAAACTACAGCATATCTCTAAACTTTTATCAGCAAATTTCTAATTTGTTCCCTGTACTGTGATCCATGTTTTATTGAGAATTTTTGGCCTTCTTTTGGAGATAGATAAATGTTCTGGGGTATGTATGACTTTAATGAATTAAATGTAATGGGTACTTGAGGGAATTTAATATTCATTAAAATAAAGTTAGTCAAACAAATTACACATTGGGAGATAGCCCAAATTGCAAAATATGTAATGGTTGAGGCTTTATACTTTTATTTTTTTCCATTTCATAATAGTATAATGTTACATTACAAAATAAATTCACATGCTACAACCTGGTTTCCCTCAAATTTATATCTAATGCTGAGGACACAGGGTTTTGGCTGAGCTGACCACATCTGCACACTTGTGCTCAGTTGATCTCATGACTGGTAGAACTCAAGCCAGAGCTAGAATTAACCATGGGACAGAGGTTGAAGTGGCTATTCCCTTGTGAGACTTTTGTCTCACATTCTATATGCTGTGTGCATTAGACAGTATAAAAGGGGCCCTGAGATCATGGCTTATTAATCTCAGATATTTTCTAAACCAGTATTTTAACATTAGCAAGTGCTGATTATTAAAGAGATATTTTGAAGGCCTTTTTCTATTATCCCTGATGCTGCTAAAAATTTGATGTGACCATCTGGTAATTTGTGGTAATCTCATTACTCCAAGTTGGTGGATGAAATGCACCTGACCCAAATAAAGAACATTGTTTTTAGTTGCTTTTCTCTATTATCACTGTAGAATAACCATAGAATCATTGAATGACAGGCAAGGTAACCAGGAAGACA